TAATATTAAAACACTAATATTCTCCAGTATTCATAAAAAACAACAGCCTGAAACAAGAATACTAAGCTCAAATCATCTTAAATATTTGATACATTTATAGTTTAAATATTTTTCTTTAAATTATATATATTTATTAATGTACAAAAAATTTAATTTAACAATATATATAGATATAAAAATTATGTATAAAATTTATTATTCATGATATTGATATCCCATGAATTTAAACATAAACACTGTTTAAGTGTTTCGGAGGCCATGCGATTTCTTTTCTTTGTTACGGTGTCCACCCCTCTTGAGAAGACACGCTCGCTCTCAACGGATGTACTTTGCTGCGACAAAAAATCTTTAGCCAACATGCAAAGGTACGGAAAACGCTCAGAATTACAGTACGACTTAAAAAAACTCGACTTAACACTACATTTATGAAAAATATGGCTCGCCTAAATTATTAAATTATATTTAAAAAAATTCATATTTTAATTGAAAAAATGCATCCGGAATCGCAAATACTTATTTAAAAAATTTATTGTTTTATTAGTTTAAAAATTCCATATGGAAGTGAAGTGACTATTTAAATTCTAAAATTATAAATTTAGTGGTGCCAGCTAGACGGCAAATTTGTTGAGATTTTTTCTTTTCTTCATTGTTAGGGATAGGGATATGATTAATAATCATTTTTTTTAACTTTCCAAATTTTTTTTTATTATTTTTAGGGGTATAAATCTAAATTTTTTTATTTTATTCATTTTTTGTTTTTAAAATTATAATTTAATATTATTAACATAAATTTTATTAATAAAAGTTCTCCAATTTAAATCATTTCTTAAATGTTTTACACATTAAAATTGATACTGGGATTAACTTTGAACCATGTTATAAAGCGCTATACTTTTTTTCAGGCGTTAATTATTCACTATTTTATTAAAAAGAATATTATGAGAGCAATTTTTCTCATAGATTATATAAAGGTATAGATATCTATTATCGTAATTTCAGGATTAGTCAATATTTTTCTTGCTAAATAGGCTTATAACGAGAGATTTTAAATATTAAATGCATATAAAAATTATTAAGATATATTTATAATTAATTCTAAAATCTTAATCCTTTAAATTAATAATTATAAATCTACACAATCTAGTTTTCCAATATAATTAAATTGATGATATGATATCATCAATTTTTTTTCGAATTCATATTCACAATGGAGGATGCTATATTAAGGTTAATATTCATTTACTCTTCATATTTTCTTTACCTATGAAATGATTCACAAAATATAGTCAATTATTTTATTATGGTTTTTACTTTTTATTCAAATAAAGATACATAGGTTGTTACATACTGTGACCCTATTAAAAAAGGGTTCGAGTTTATTTGCAAAAAATATCTGAACCAGGTTGGGATTCAGGTTCGGTGCCCAGAAAAAACTTAATTTAATTAAAATAACAGATACAAATTTTTTATTAAAATTAATCTTATATTTAGTTTAAGAATTCACCGTAAAAATATTTATCATTTGGAGTTCTGGTGACCATCATTTAAAAAAACAATATGGAACTATATAATATCATTCTAGGGCCATAATTTAATAAAATTTGACAAATCGCTGTTTTTATTAGGAAATTAGACTGGTAGGGTAGTTTTTGAATTGTTTTAAAAAATATTAATTTTACCCAATGTTGTGTGCCGACTCTGAATATTCGCACAAGGGTTCAGACAGCACTCACATTTTCATACATCCAAATTAGAAATCAAAGATTTTGGCAATTTTATTTGATATCAAGAAATTTTATTTAGTCAATTTTAATAAAACCTTAATATGGTTACATTTTATAAAAATCTTATTTGATTTAGGGTTATCTTCGTTCTTTTTATTTACTCAAGATTCATCACTTGAAAAAAAATTAATTTTTTCTATTTTTGCAGATTAAAAAGAGATCCAGCTATGGCCTTAATAGAAAAAAATAAATTAAGAGAGCCACAACCAATAACGTTAAAGAAAATATCAAAAGATTCTATAAGTGAAAAAATTATACAAATGGCGCAATCTCCAATCTTAGAAAATTATATTCCGCAGGAAATTGAATCTGATGGTAATTGCTTTTACCGGGCGGTTTCAATGTCGTTATATAAACCACAAACACATCATATTTTTTTAAGACTGATAACGGCAATAGAAATAATTATAAATCCTCAATATTATGATAAAAACCATCCTGATTTTTTCCAAAACTATAAAATTAATCCAAATATATGGGTGAATGAGTATTATGAGATACTCGATTCGGCTCTAAATATAAATGTTTGGGCTGAGCAAATTCATATATGCGCATTAAGTGCTGCTCTTGGCAAACCAATGTCCATCAAATTCATTAAAGGCTTTTACCGATATCCTTTATGGCAGGGGTGTAAGCCAGAGTTTAAAGCCTCATATTTTAATCATGTGGACATCTACCATATGTCCAAATGATATATTTAATATTAGAATCAATCACTTTGTATCTCTCATACCAAATAATTATATTAATACATTAACAAAAAAACCCCAACTGTCCAACAATATCATAAAAGATTTATCATTTTCGATAGAAAATATTCTAAAAAAACCATGTAGCGAAGATATCCGATTAAAACCTTTACCTTTTTTTTTAAACAATATTATAGCTGAAGGAGGTCATCCAAACTATGGGTTTTTTTTAAACATTGTAAAATCCATAAAAATTTTGCTTTCTCCCAATAATATATTGCACGAAATACCTTTAGGTATAAAATATAATATGTATTTTTTAATTTCTAATAATAATTTTACAAATTATAAGAATAAAAATTTATATATAGATGATTGTGGGCCATGGACAGGCTCAAAATCAAGCTCAAGAAAATTATATTATAATATATATAATGATATTGTTCAAGGTCCGTATATTTTTAAAGATGGCCTATTTAGGCAGGACACTCATCTAGGTGGTTCTAGAATTTTTAAAAAAATAGAACCTCAACCTTTAACCAAAAATATAATTGTTCTTTATAAATACTATAGTATTTTAAAGAGAAGTAAAGAGTATAAACGCCGAATTTTAAAAATTAATTTTATTGAAAAGCCTAATTACGATTTCAAAGATATATATTTAGTTGAATATATAGGACAATGGCCAGGTCCCGCTTGCCATGGGAATTCCAAAAAGATTGTAAATCCTTATGTACGGACTTCAAATCAGTTATTATCAAACATTAGAAATCAAATAAAGGACAATCAAACATGTCGCAATATTTATAATAATTATATATTTCAAAAAGACCCAATTAAACCAAAAAATTTAAAACAAATTTATAACTTAAATTATAAACTTAAAAAAGATACAAAAGTACCTCTAAATTTTGCGATTAATATTTTACAAATTACTAATGATCTACATATTTCGCCATTTATCCAATCAATAATTCACATCAAAGAGAAAACACCATCGATAATTTGTTATACTCATTTTATTATTAAAACTATTAAGTTTTTGTCAAACCAATTTGACTTCTGTATATTAGGCGTTGATAAAACATTTAATTTGGGTGATATACCTAACTGCTATAGTATTTAAACATATAGCAGTTAAGAGATATAAAACAGATGAATCCCCTATATTTTTAGGACCAATATATTTGCATGGAGATTCTGATATGACCACTTATCATACTTTTTTCTCTCATTTGCATTCTGTATTTTTAAAAAATAAAATAAATATTAAAAATATCATATTTGGTAGTGACCAAAAGGCTATAGTAAAACCTATTCAGGAAATATTTTAATTTAATACTCATTTAATATGCACACGTCATTTAAAAGACAATATAAGAAAATATTTGACGGAAAAACAAGGTGTAAATGCTGTTATGTCTAAAAAAATTATACAGGATATTTTTTCTTTTAATGGGATTTTATTTTCTCGGAATGACCAAATATATAATGAAAAATTAAACGATTTATACAATTATTGTAATAATGAAAATTTAAATATTTTTTTGCTATATATAAAAAATAAATTTCAAAAAGTAATTTATGAACATGTTTACATTCCCCTAAAAAATAAAATAATAAATTGTTTATGGACAAATAACAACTGCGAATCTATGAACCATGTTTTAAAATCATATATAAACTGGAAACAACGTCCTTTAAAAGAAATAATCGAAAAAATTAAGGATATCACAATGTTACAAGAAAAAGAATTTAAAAGATCCTTCTCAGGAAAAGGAGAATATTTTTTAAATAATGAATATCGCAATTATTTAATACCCGAATCGATAGATTGTCATGATACATTAAATAATTTACTTAATAGTCAAAGCAAAGATAAATTACATTCATTAGATAAAACTTTATCTGTTTTAAAACCAAAAGGCTCAAAAAAACCACATCAGCGACGTAGAATTAAAGCAGAAAGGACTCGATAAAATATTTTTTATAAATTTTAATTCCTTATTTTTCCCCAATTTTCCCCTGCTCATAATCTATTTCATCAATATATATAATTTTATTATCCTAAATGTATATTTAAATCTTCTCTGCCGAACAAATTATATTTTATGAACGCAATAATTATATTATAATAACATTATATATCAATTTGGTAAAAATAATTATGATTTATATATGAATGAATAAAATGAATTACCATCGTTATTAATTTATCTGATTAATAAAAATTGCAAAATTTAAAAAAGACTACTAATTTTTTACCAAAATATAGATAATGCTATAAAAAAAATCATAAGTATTTTAGTCATCATGATAGAATATGGCGAAATTTATTAAACACATTCAAAAATATTATTTTTAAATTTTATAATAAAAATTTAAAGACGCCATCTAGCGGATAGAATATTATTTCTTTTACTTTAATAAATAAAAAATGTTATGAGCAATTTTAATTTTATAAAAGTATTGAAGCTAAAATATCTAATAGATAATTTTTTACACCTGTCCAACCCTTTATCTTATTTATAAACTAATTAATTCTCAATTAATATTAGGAAAGTGAAAACCCACTGGAAAATGTTTGGAAATTTAATAAATAAATATAAGCCGAGCGATATTTAGCAATAAAAAATTTATTATGTAATTAGCCTAGCGTAATTTAAATAATAAATGATTTATTATGTGGTTAACCGAGCCACATTTCCCAATCGAGCGATATTTAGTAATAAATGATTTATTATGTGGTTAGCCGAGCGATAAATAGACCCACCGGTTTTTCTTGCACATTATTTCTACATTGCATATCTTACATCTAGCTGTCTCCGTTTTAGAATCATGCAGATAATGGTTCCATATTAAAGAATTTTTCCGTCTAACATTAACATCAGTTTGATCAGATATTGATGTAGATCTAGAACTATTCGAGGATTGACTATGTTCTTCACCATAACTTCTTCCATCAAGATTTTCTAATTGATTATTTAAAATTATATATATCATATAAAATACATGCTTACCATCTTTCCAGAAATTCCAGATCATTAATACATTAGGAGCTGAAAGAAAAAATATTTAAAAATTAAGAAACAGTAAATTAATTAAACAGTGGCGTAAGCATGGAGGAGGCTGTTTTTTAAAAATAAAAATATTTTAATTTATTCCTCTTATGAATTAAAAATTAAACCTCTCTTTTCAAATCAAAAAAAATATTATATTAGTTTCTTTTAAATATATTCTTAAAATTTATGCAAATACTATTTTTAATCAAAGTACAAATACAATGTTTTATTTATATTTTGAAAATATTTTCATATTTTTTTTAAATACCAGTATTTGCATAAGAATTATTTAAATTTTATATATTTTTTTATACAATAAAATTTTTATAATTATAAAAATATTTACATTTTAAAATTTATTTTAAATAATAAAAATAAATTTATGATTAAATAAAGGAAATTTAAGCTACTAAAGTATTTTAATATAATAAATAAAATTTATAATGAAATACTTTCTAAAATTTTGTTATATCTTATTCTTATATGCAAATATTTAAAATAAATTTAACATAGCCTAAGATGTAAGCAATTGAGTGTTCATAAAAATGGGAGAGTTGGGAGAGAAAATCCTGGCTAAGCCACTGCAATTAAAACTTCAAAATATTATTGTTAATTTTGTAGTATATAAATTATAAATGTAATCTCATTTTATTAGAAGTGATTATATATTCTTAAAATTTATGAAAATACTATTTTTAATCAAAGTACAAATACAATGTATTATTTATATTTTGAAAATATTTTCATATTTTTTTAAAATACCAGTATTTGCATAAGAATTATTTAAATTTTATATAATTTTTTATACAATAAAATTTTTAAAATTATAATCTATATAAAATATTTACATTTTAATATTTATTTTAAATAATTAAAAAAAATTTATGATTAAATAAAGGAAATTTATGCTATTAAAGTATTTTAATATAATAAATAAAATCTATAATGATGAAATACTTTCTAAAATTTTGTTATATCTAATTCTTATATGCAAATATTTAAAATAAATTTAACATAGCCTAATTGAGTGTTCATAAAAAATGGGAGAGTTGGGAGAGAAAATCCTGGCTAAGCCACTGCAAATAAAACTTCAAAATATTATTGTTAATTTTGTAGTATATATATTATACATGTATCATTTTATTAGAAGTGATTATCACAATGTTATTAATAGTGATAAGATTTTATGATAGTGATTATGATACACTATTTGAATTAGATGATTTTCTTTAAAATTTGATAAAAAAATAAGGTCACTGTATGGGAAAAGAATTTTCCTAATCAAAGAATAAGAACTAGTCAAGAAAATTAGTTATTTATCTGCCAAGGAACCTAAGAATATGGGAAAGATTGTTTTGGCTTGTTCTTTTTAAATATATTCTTAAATTTATGCAATAAAAATTTTATTGTATAAAAAATTATATAAAATTTAAATAATACTTATGCAAATATTGGTATTAAAAAAAAATATGAAAATATTTTCAAAATATAAATATCCATTGTATTTGTTGTACTTTGATTAAAAATAGTATTTGCATAAATTTAAGAATATATTTAAAAAGAACAAGCCAAAACAATCTTTCTCATATTCTGAGGTTCCTGGCAGATAAATAACTAAATTTTCTTGACTAGTTCTTATTTTTTTATAGGAAAATTCTTTTCCCATTTAGTAACCTTATTTTTTATCAAATTTTAAAGTAAATCATCTAATTCAGATAGTGTATCATAATCATTATCATAAAATCTTCATCACTATTTATTAAATTGCCACAATCACTAACAATAATATTTTGAAGTTTTAATTGCAGTGGCTTAGCCAGGAATCTTAACACCAAAAATGATTAAATAAAGAGAAAATATCAAAATAAAATAATTATATTTTTGTTTACTTTGGGTTTGGGGCTTTTCCTTTTCTTCCATTAAAATTTGACAGCAATTAATATAAGTTATGGATTTGATAAAGATAATAGGTAATAAAATAAAATGATATCCACTAGGAATATTTAATTACTTCTTTTTTTATTATACTTACAACAATTTACAAATACAAATAAAATATTTGCGAAAAATTACGAATATTTATATATAAATAATTTCGAATAATTTTCCTCATTATTCATTTCATATTCGATTCGAAATTTAGAATCGAATAATTGTGTTATTCGTATTCGTAAAATACGAATCGAATCGAATTTCGCATAACAAATAATTCGTTTTAGGCCTACTTCAAAGTGGGTCAAATGTCATTTTTCGAATAAAATGATTTTTTAAAATTGAGATAACTTTTATATTAGATGCACTATGTATATTTATTATGGCTCATTTTATAGCCCTAAGTAAACTCTTGAACGTATGTTAAATAAAATTAATTTTTAGTTTAAATATCATTTTTAAATTGCGGTTAAAAATTTGTAATTAATTTTTTAAATGTTAGACTAAATTTCTTTTCCAAATTTCAGATATTTTGTAAAGAGAACTGTTCATATAAAAAATTTCCATTTGATTTAAAGTAGAATTTAAGGATTCTAAAAAAAGTGTAGGGAGTTGCGCATTGTCATTAATTGGATAATCATTTTCTATATCGGTGGAGTTTAAGAAATTATTTGAAGTTGTAGGGATATTGCTATCCTCTAAAATTGTAATACTATTCTTCATTTTATTAAATAATTTGCGACACTTAGCACAATTATATTCTCCTTTCTTAATTTTATGATACATTGTCATCCATAGGGGCACCTTTCCCAAAACTTTTACGGAATAGTGATTTGGAAGATTCAATGGATTTGTACAATATATATTTAATAAAATATTAATAAATTAATTAATTTTAAAAATTATAAATTTTAGGAAAAAGTAACAGATAAAAAAATCGATAAATTAATTAATTTTAAAAATTATAAATTTTAGGAAAAAGTAACAGATATAATTATTGGAAAAAATATTTCGAATAATCGATAATTCAATTAATTTCAAAGAAATTAAAATTATTTTAAATATTTATACTATACGATTATTATTAAGTATTTGATAAATATTATATTATGGAATAAAAAAAATTACTAAGAATGACTTTTATTGTTAAAATTAATATTTTAAATTTCTTGCGCCATCTAGCGGATTTTTTTAAAATGCAATTTTATCTAATTAATTTTTTTGGCCCAAATGATGAAAGGATTAACGTTCAAAAAAGGTAAATTCTTAATAATTTAAAAGAAATCTATATAAATTTTAAAACTATCTACCCTACTCTTAAAATCGGATTTTCAAAATTCACCTCATTGCGCCCTAAAAATTGCATAATGCCAGGTTCAAGTGGCACTCACTCTGTTTATGTCTGCCTAATCCATCAGAATGTTAAGTTGCTAATAATAGGTAGCAATTTAGCAACTTTGACAAAAAATAGGGATTTTGAGATAAAGATTTACAAAGACTTCCAAAAATGATTTGCAATCCTCCACTGCCAGCCTGTTATTTTGGCGAATGTCATGAATGTCCTAGGGACCAAGCATTAAGGGCTAAATTAGAAAATTTATTAATTGCAAATGATATATACAGGATAACGTTCACGCAATGGATAACTGTCCAGTTTAAAGACCCTAACACAAACTGCTTACGAATTTCTTAATTACTTATTTGATAAAATATTTATATTGATTCGCCATTCTTTTATTACTGAACAACAAAATAGATTCCATCAGAATCTTAAAAACAACTTAGAGCTAGATCATTATTTAGTTATCTGCGATTTTTCTGAAAATTACTCTTTTATATTTCAAGACGAAGTCCAAAGTTATCACTGGGCCACTTCTCAGGTTACCCTACATCCATTTGGTATATATTATAAAATAAATAATGTATTAAATTATATAAGTTATGAGGCCATATCAGAGTCGCTGGTACATAACACTTATTTATTTCATTTATTCCAAAAAAAAAGATAAATTTTCTAAAAAATTACTTTTTGTCTGAGCCAAAAAACATTTATTATTATTCCGAGGGGTCCGCGGCGCAATATAAAAATAGGAAAAATTTTATAAATTTGTGTTATCAAGTGGGCTTGGCCATCCCAGCAGAGTGGCATTTTTTTCCTACTGCCCATGGGAAAAATGTTTGCGATGGAATAGGGGGAACCGTTAAACGCTTGGCTGCGCGGGCCAGTTTACAACGTCCTTATGAAAATTAAATAAAATCTCCCTATGAATCCTTTTAATTCGCTGAGGAAAATATTAAAAATATTTATTTTTCCTATACATCCCATAAAGAATACCAAGATGAGCAAGAATTTTTAGAGGAACGATTTTCAAGAGCTCTTTCAATATCTGGGATTCAAAAAATTCATGCAGTCTATCCTGTTAATTTATCACAAATAAATACAAAAAAATATTCTAGTGCTATTGAAGTCAAATTAGAAAAAATCCGAAATATAAAGCGAAATTAAAGATATTAAAGGGTATGTTACATGTTTATATGATAATGAATGGTGGTTATCATTCAAAGAAACTTTATTAAAATTATTTTAGATATTTATACGCTTATTATTAATTATTCGATAAATATTATATTATGGAATAAAAAAATTTTCTTAGAATGACTTTTATTGTTAAAATTAATATTTTAAATTTCTTGCGCCATCTAGCGGATTTTTTTAAAATGCAATTTTATCTAATTAATTTTTTTGGCCCCATTTTGAAATTTTTATATGAACAGTTCTTGGTACTCTTTACAAAATATCTGAAATTTGGAAAAGAAATTTAGTCTAACATTATAAAAAATTAATTACAAATTTTTAAGCGCAATTTAAAAAAAATATTTATACTAAAAATTAATTTTATTTAACATACGTTCAAGAGTTTACTTAGGGCTATAAAATGAGCCATAATAAATATACATAGTGCATCTAATATAAAAGTTATCTCAATTTTAAAAAATCATTTTTTTTGAAAAATGACCAAGTTGACCCACTTTGAAGACCTATATCTCCAATTCTAATAGAGTTAAGACTCTAATATTTTGGATTCGTCACTTACAATACTTTATTAACTTAAATACCAAATTTTAACAATCTGAGATGGTCGGGTTGTAAAGTGATTGATTTATGGAATGACCCTGGTACATCTTCACTGAAATTTTTATTTAACAAGTTTACAATATATATATTTACACATTTGCTTTAAAAAAATTCAAAAAAGTTCAAAAATAACGATTATGACAATTGCCACTTTTCTATGGTACATCTTAACCTAAATTTTAATTTAACATATTTACAATCTATATTAGCGTCAAAAATAAACTAATATGTTTTAAAACACAGATTATGATATTTGTCATTTTTAAAGGAACATCATCATTGAATTTATAATTTAACATATTTATAATATAAATTATATTTTTACCCTTTTGTGCCAAAAATTTCAAAAATGTTAAAAAATAACATGACAATTATCACATTAAAATATTACAAGACGATCATGTAAAATAACATATAAAAATTTAATATAAATATTTAAAAATAAATTATTTAAACTAATTCATTTGATGAACTAAAAAAAAATAGATAATTTTACAAAAATGATAAAAATAAACCTATAAAAGATTTCAACTAAAAGATTAATAATTCACAAAAAAATTAATTAAAAAAGAAGATTTTAAATTCTTATCAATTCAAATTTTGCTTAAAATTTTTGCATGAAAACCACAAATTAATTGTAACAAAAATAATATTATAATTCGAAATATTTGTCCTCTAGTCGACTTAAGTTCATGACTCGAGTTGACTGGAGTTCACGATTCGAGTTGACCTGAGTTAACGACTTGAATTCACGATTTAAGTCGACTCGAGTTCACGACTTCAGTGAGTCGACTAATTCGACTAACGACTCAGACTCTGAGTCAGATTGGGTGAACTCGGCTATATGGTTCTAAACACCCTAAAAAGAAAGAAAAATAAATTGAAAAAACAAGACATAAAAAATAAAATGCCACCACACCAAATACTTAAAACAACCCAAAATAGGGTGTCTAGTTCTAAAGCTGTTAAGCAGCAAAACTGCAATAATTATCAAAAATAAGTTGAACCAGAGCACATTTTTAAAACTAAAAAGTGCAATTGAATATAGCAATACTTATAATGTTATAAATAAATGAAGGCTAAAATATTTATATATTTTCAATTATAGATTCTTAAGAACCAATTTTCTATTTTCACCTAGGCTTCAGCCATCCCCATATCTAAAGACCTTTCTTGCCTACAATTAATTTCTATACCGAAAATAAATATTGCGTGGGATAATAAGTTATCATAATAAGCAGACAATTATAAACATGCAAAAATCACCATTTTCTTGTGATTCTTTTGCAAATAATTATGATGATAATAAAAAACTTAAAATGGAGGTATAATATTAATAAAATGTTATAACTTTGTTCTTGTAAGGAAAATGACACTACATTAGATATTAAAAAGGAGAATAATCAGATATTGAAATCAAATCCCATTTTATTTCCTGATAAAAAATATATGCAAAAAGAAACCAATCTGTCTCAAAACTCTGCTCTTAAAGAAGACCTAGGTAAAATGTAATAAATATATTATAAAACTTGTTTATATAATAATTTTTTACAAAATATAAATTTTCAAAAATGAAACTTGTTATTTTAAACATTTTTTTTCTCAAACTCCTAGGGAACTTAATATGAATTAATATTAGAAAATGTCTTGAAATTGGGCCCTTGTTTGTTATTTGGGAATAAATTAACAACATTACTATCATATTTATTATTAAAATACATATGGCTTGATAAATAAGCAGTTATTTACTTTAAAATAGGGTGTTTTTTATATAAAAAAAGAACAACACACTTTGATAATCTAATCATTTTCTTATTTGAAAAATAAAAGATTTTTTCATTAATCAAATTGTTTTTTATCTTTTATTTAGTTAAGGAAAATGATATTAAAACTGACAGCCAGAATATTGAAAAAAAGTTAAAAGGTAAAACATAAAAAGTTTTTTTAATAATAAAACATCTGTTTAATAATATTAACCAATAAGATATAGAAAAAGACTTTGAGAAAATAATCAAGAAGCGATTGCATTATTTTATGTTAGGATTAAATAATTTATATTTTAATTTTTTTTATAGATTTAGTGATGCAGAATCTTTTGAACCTTATTGTTTAAAACAAGTGGATAAAATTTTACAAGAAGCTATACTTTTAGAATGCAAGCTTATTAAACAAAGAGACCAAATTAGAGAAAAAGCTAAATTATTAAGCAGACATTTTAAAAATATATAAGACTTTTATTTTAAAAAAATATATATTTATAACATAGTTTATCCCAATATCAATTCCAATATAATTACAACTATATTCAAAAATATTAGCGGTACTATATAAAAGATGCGTATACATATTTGAAAGATTTATGTACCTCTCATTACCATTTGAATAGATTTAATAAGATTTATCAATTGAGACTTTATTCCAGGAGAATCACTAAATGTTTGTGATGAATCATGATTCCATCCAACTGATGTTTACAAAAATAAAATTAAAATTATTATATTTTTATCACTTTTTGCTAAAAATCTTTTTTCATTTAATATTGCAACTGCATTAGTGAAAAGAAGTATAGATTCCAATAAGCACTTCAAACTTAAAGGCATTTCGGTTTCGTAAGATTTACATTTTATTACATTACACGGTGTAACTAAACTGAGAATTAACAGGTAAACTGAGAATTGACAGGTAAACTGAGAATTGACAGGTAAACTGAGAATTGACAGGTAAAATTTATTTTTATTTTATTGCCTATCAATTATTTTTAAATATATAAATAAAATATTTTTGAAGTAAAAATCAAATCTATCCAAAATTAAAATTATTTAAATATATAAATTAGAATATAGAAGATATTGTAGTCCATAAATTTATAATATGTATAGAATAGATCTATTATATAGAAAATTTAACACACATAATATATTTTATATATCATAAATAAAATTCCGCTAGATGGCGTAAATTATTAAAATTTTAGTTTTTAATTAAAAATAATATGAATTATAGGAGCATAATTCTTCGCTCTGGATTAATTGATTTGGTACTAACTTATATAAACATATAATGAAAAAATTTTAAAGATCCCATCATTATTTTTGGAGTTATAATGTGAATTCTCAGTTCAGTTTTTTTTTTTTAAATTTTTGGGAATTTAAAAATATTTTATTTTTTTGACTCATTTGGTGTAAACTAACTTATATAAACATAAAATGAAAAAAAATTTAAATTTCCATCATTATTTTTGGAGTTATGATGTGGATTCTCAGTTTAGTCAATTTTTTAATTTTTTAAAAAATTTTTGGGATTTTAAAAATATTTTATTTTTTTGACTCATTTGGTGTAAACTAACTTATATAAACATAAAATGAAAAAAAATTTAAGTTTCCATTATTATTTTTGGAGTTATGATGTGGATTCTCAGTTAAGTCAATTTTTTAATTTTTTTTTTAATTTTTGGGATTTTAAAAATTTTATATTTTTTTGACTCATTTGGTGTAAACTAACTTATATAAACATAAAATGAAAAAAATTTTAATTTCCATCATTATATTTGGAGTTATGATGTGGATTCTCAGTTTAGTCAATTTTTTAATTTTTTTTTAGATTTTTGGGATTTTAAAAATATTTTATTTTTTTGACTCATTTGGTGTAAACTAACTTATATAAACATAAAATGAAAAAAATTTTAAGTTTCCATCATTATTTTTGGAGTTATGATGTGGATTCTCAGTTTAGTCAATTTTTTAATTTTTTTTTAGATTTTTGGGATTTTAAAAATATTTTATTTTTTTGACTCATTTGGTGTAAACTAACTTATATAAACATAAAATGAAAAAAATTTTAAGTTTCCATCATTATTTTTGGAGTTATGATGTGGATTCTCAGTTTAGTCAATTTTTTAATTTTTTTTAGATCTTTGGGATTTTAAAAATATTTTATTTTTTTGACTCATTTGGTGTAAACTCTTATATAAATATAAAATGAAAAAAAATTTAAGTTTCCATCATTATTTTTGGAGTTATGATGTGGATTCTCAGTTTAGAGAATTTCCTCTTTCTAGAACACCCTCTCCATCTAAAGTAATTTCTCTTTCTGGAACACCTTCTCCCTCTAGAGCAATTTCTCTGTCTAGAACACCTTCTCCCTCTAGAGTAATTTCTTTTTCTAGAAAATCTTCGTCATCTAGAGTAATTTCTTTTTTGGAACACCTTCTCCATCTAGAGTATTTCCTCTTTCTAGAACATCTTCTCCGTCTATTGTATTTTCACCTACTAATTTTGTATATAAAGAGTTATAAAATCCAATCGAAGCCCAATCTAAAAATTCTGACGAATATTTATATATACCACTTTCTCCGTCCAATCAGCCTTCGACATCTATAGCACTTTATCCGTCTAAAATAGCTTTAGTTATTAAAGCTACCACTATTCAAGAAGATTCTATGGCAAGGGAAGGTTTTAATAATTTTGGTAAATATTTAACTACTGATTAATTAATGTCTTTATTCTTGCATCCTATAAAAGTATTGAATTAAATACCTACTGGGGTAAAAAATAATAAAGTTTTTGTAATTAATAATCAATTTAATATATTAAAAAATGTTGGCGAAAAATCAGTCTTTGAGGATGATTGCGGAGCCTGGACTGGAAAGCCAAGATGATCGAATCATTAAATTTTGATTTTTTAAAAAAAAACAAATTAAAAATAATAAAAATTTAGAATTACTTGAGCTTCAGCCAAATATTGACGATATGGTAATTCTTCATCGTTACTATAGTGCGTTAAGAAATTGTGGAAAATATAAGAGAAAGATTTCTTATTTGGTTAATATGTCATCATCAGTTAACCAATTACACGATATTTTTTATTGCCGAATATTTAGGTGAGTATCCTGGTAAAATAGCTCATGGCAATAAGAAAATATCTCAATCTATATATTTACGCACACCGCGTTGCGTTTACAAAACAATTGATAATAAAGTAAAGTACCAAACACCTAGTAATATCTACCAAGAATTACTAATTGAAGATCGTGATATAATAGGACCTCGAAATGTAAAACAAATAGCTAATATTAAATATAATCTTTTAAGCAAAAATGAATCAGGATACTTGTCTAATTTTGCTGATCAAGCTCTTGATATTTTAAAAAACATGTATAAATACCCATTGGTACAAAAGATTGATATCAGCCCCGATAAAGTAATATCTCTTATTTTATATACTCCCCTCATGATAGATAACATTAAATATATCTGCTCAAATAATAATCCTAGCATTATATGTATAGATAAAACTTACAATTTAGGAGAATTGTTTGTAACATTCATCGTTTTTAAACATAAATGTATAAAAACTCACCGTTTACACGATCATCCAATTTTCTTAGGACCTATATTTTTACACGGTAATTCGGATTATCAAACATTTAATAATTTTTTCTCTCACCTTGAATCAATTTTTTAAAAAAATCGTATACCCTTAAATAATTTAATTTTTGGGAGGGACGGAGAATTGGGGATGGTATCGGCCTTGCGTAGAAATTTTATAAATTCAACCCATCTTTTATGTACTAAACACATTAAAGAAAATGTAATTCATTTTTTAACTAATAACGAAGGAGTTGAAATAAAAATTAGAAACATAATTATAAATTTTATTTTCAATAAAGATGGAATAATATATTCATTAACCGATGAAATCTTTAAAAAAAATACAGATAATTTAAAATAATTTTGCTTAAATAAAAATTATACAAAATTTGTAAAATATTTAGATAATCATTTGATAGATAAATTATATAATATGGTATATTTACCTTTAAAAAATAAAATAATTTTAACACCCTACACCAACAATAATTGTGAAAGTATAAATCATGTATTAAAAACAAAATTTGATTGGAAAAAAACTCCTTTACATATAATGATAAATAAAATAAATGATATGATTTTAATACAGGAAAAAGACTTCGAGAGAGCCATATGTGGGTTGGGCCCTTATTATCTAACAAAGGCATTAGATATATCATCCATGCATCAGAGCTGGGCTTAGATGACAGATCTGTTGAAAATATTATAAGAAAATAGTAATGGAAAACTAATTACCTCAACATGTGGTCAATTAGCTATAATGAAACCTTTAGGATCAAAAAAACCTAATCAAGCCAAAAGAGCCAAAACGGAAAGAACGAAAACAATAAGACCATAGATTTATATGTTTTTTATTATAAACCTCTAATTTCCAACAATTAATATATCCAATAATTAATTAAATAATTCTCCCTATATTTATAAAAAATAATTTATATATTTTTAACAATTATCGATCCTCCTGGCTTTTACAAAAAATTGATATATGTATGTAAAGAAACCTTCTTATCTTCTTATGAAACTTTATAATGAGTTTATATTTATCTTAATTTTTTTTATAAAATTATAATTAATAATATTTGTGGTATTGCTATTTCTAATTGGTCTAAAAATTTTATTAGTCTTTTTTTATGATATAAAAATACCCAACGGTCTTTTTTAAGACCAAAGAATACCCAACGGCCCTTTTAAGGGCCCCTAAATTTTAATTGAAGTAAACTAGTTTTCCGATTCCAACTATAAAATAATGCATTTATTTATGTTTATATAAGTAAGTTTACACCAAATGAGTCAAAAAAAATAAAATATTTTTAAAATCCCATAAATCTAAAAATAAATTAAAAAAATTGACTAAACTGAGAATCCACATCATAACTCCAAAAATAATGATGGAAACTTAAAAATTTTTCATTTTATGTTTAAATAAGTTAGTTTACACCAAATGAGTCAAAAAAAATAAAATATTTTTTTTTAAATCCCATAAATCTAAAAAAAATTAAAAAATTGACTAAACTGAGAATCCACATCATAACTCCAAAAATAGTGATGGAAATTTAAAAATTTTTTCATTTTATGTTTAAATAAGTTATTTTACACCAAATGAGTCAAAAAAAATAAAATATTTTTAAAATCCCAAAAATCTAAAAAAAAATTAAAAAATTGACTAAACTGAGAATATACATCATAACTCCAAAAATAATGATGGAAACTTAAAATTTTTTTCATTTTATGTTTATATAAGTTAGTTTACACCAAATGAGTCAAAAAAAATAAATATTTTTAAAATCCCATAAATCTAAAAAAAAATTAAAAAATTGACTAAACTGAGAATCCACATCATAACTCCAAAAATAATGATGGAAACTTAAAATTTTTTTCATTTTATGTTTATATAAGTTAGTATACACCAATTGAGTCAAAAAAATAAAATATTTTTAAAATCCCAAAAATTTTTTAAAAAAATTAAAAAATTGACTAAACTGAGAATCCACATCATAACTCCAAAAATAATGATGTAAACTTAAAAAATTTTTCATTTTATGTTTATATAAGTAAGTTTACACCAAATGAGTTAAAAAAAATAAAATATTTTTTAATTCCCAAAAATCTAAAAAATTGACTAAACTGAGAATTCACATCATAACTCCAAAAATAATGATTGGATCTTAAATTTTTTTTCATTTTATGTTTATATTATTTTCTACCAAAGAAATTAATCCAGAGCGAAGAATTATGCTCCTATAATTCATATT